TTTGCTCGTTATTGCTGGTGTCGGATGTGGCGGCGGTGGCGGTGACAGTGTTGATGAGGTTGTTGCCCCGCTTGTTACTGGAGCTGGAGTCACTGGCTCTCTGGTTGTCAGCGGTGTCGCCCACATAGACTTTGGATGACGGTGGTGATTGCGCAGATGATGAGGAGGAATAGGAGGACGACACAGCTAATTGCACAGAGTTTCTATTGTTATTCCTATTGTATCCTAATAGACTGTTTGTCGAGATCAGCGAGGAAGCATAGGATTTCTTGTTAGTCTGCGTGCCAGAATTCGGAATAGAACAGATACATATGGTAAATTACAATAGTCACATGAGTTTTGTCTAGTTAAGCACATGTATTTTTTTGTGTGGGTCTATGATCGAATAGCTGGCATCCATTCGGGCAAAGTCCTTGCCGCAATGGGCTGCCATCACAAGTCCCAAAAATGGATGGGTTGTATGCGTTTTGAATGAACGTGTTGTGTAGCAACGAAAGCTTGAAGGATATACATAAGATAGGCTCGAAGCGCTCTCTGAATTTTCGCAGCCAATGGTCGGTCTAGCATTAAGTGTACCGCCATTCTGCCCCAAGTTCTCACCTTGCTGTGGTACGTGTAGTAGTTGAAGGTCTTGAGATAGGTGCCCAGGGACAGCACATTGCACTGGGGGCACAAGTCTTTGGTTCGTTGCTGCATCATGGCCAGCAGGTAAAGGAAGTCTTCGGCCACATAGTGATCTTCCTCAAGGAATAGGACCAAGCCTGTAAATATTTGTGATATTAAGTCAAGTTATAGTTTCAAGAACAACTGATTTTACCTGTGTGATAGCGGGTCACCTCCAGTTCATTAAACACCCGGTTCGCTTTCCAAATCCAGTGGTGCTTTGTCTGCGTAAACTTTGCCTCCCGATAGTGGCCATAGAGATCGGGGTACATGGCATTGTTGCAATTGGTGATCAGAGCTCTATTGACAAATGAAATGAATTAATTATTGTCACAAATGCAGATATACTAAGTATAACGACTGTTTTCTTAAACTCACTGCTCCTTTTTGATATTCCTCGGGCAATCGTTGGGATCCACGCCGGGATACTCATTCGGATGCGTCTGAATGGAGTACGGATAGAAGATCTGCATCACCTTGCAGAAATCGATCTGCTGAACCAGGTCGTTGATGTCGTCGTCGTAATAGTCGTGCGAAAACACCAGCAGCACCTTGGAGATGTCCCTGGCCTGGGCCAGACTGACAATCAAATGTCGCAGATATGTAATCCTCGTGTGCACCTGCGGTTTTAAGACATTATAGAGGATCTACCTTAAAGAATAGGTACACTTACCTGGACTACAATTATCACAGAGTCGTTTTGCAGGGGCCCGAAGACGTCCTCGTTGAGCACCGACTGCATATCGTTGTACCTCCCGATCTGACGCTTGATCTCCGTAATATTCGGAGGATGATAGACGTCGAAGCTGATTGTGGTGGCAGTTGCAGCTCCGGCACTAGTTGCATTCAGGAGCAGGGCTAAAAGGGGAATAATTGTTTTAACAATACAATGTTTGTTTAATCTTCTATAGAGAATTACCCGCTCCGGAAAGAACTCCTGCTCCCGAGGCGGTGTGATTGCGGGAGTGGGGTGTCAGATACTTGTGCAGGGTGGCGGGCACCATGGCCAAAATGGCATCATCCGAATCGTTGGTGACCGCATCGCCCAGCACATTGTCCCGCGAGTCCACTGGGAAAAGATTAATGTACATATTTAATTATGGTCTCCCTAAATTACTTATAATAACTTACAGTAATTGAAATTGTGGTACTGCAGCAGGCCAAAGATGCATAGGGCCAGCAGGAATACACTCCGCATGTAGAAGTTATTGCGCTTGCGCCCCATTGCTCCGGTATTGGGCAGAGGGATCAGAATGCGACCTGTTCAAAACCAAACAGATTTAGCAAGGCTCACTTGTTATATTTGATGTCTTGTTTCTATTACCCCTCATTTTCGACATTTCCGCAACTCGTTCTCCTCTCGATTCCGGGATCGAATAACTAGCAAGTGTTTACTGGGAAAGCGTCGTCATCTCGCCATCTAAAATGGAGTGATCACAATTATTACGAGAATTCCCAATGTTATTAGCACAATCAATCAATTGGCTTCCAATTAATGTGATTATGTTTCACATATATTAAAAAACATTTGCGCAATTAATTAAATAATAATAATGTAGTTTAACTGTGTTGAAAAAGTATAGGGATAAATCATTTAATGATACCTTTACTGTGCAAAACATGTTTACTTTTCCATATTTGTATGTAGTTATTTTATTACAATTGCTCTCAAAGAAAAGTTCATTTAAATTTGATCAGACTTTAGGAATGTGAAAGCAGAACATCTATAAGAATTTTTGGGAGCCTTTAAATCAAAACCTATAAGTGTCCAGATTCTTCAGGTCTGATCCGCACAATGGGAATCGGAATGGGAATGCTAATCAGAAGAGTAACGAGTACGCAAATTCAATTGCACACCGGCCTCCAGTGCGCCGTATTCTCAGATCCATACTTGGCACTGGGCACTTGGCACTTGAGTTTAATTAGCAATGGAGGCTCACTGGTCGCCGCATGACAGAGGAGGAGCACGTAGTCGCCGCATGGAGCCCGCAGTCGGAGAGCCTGTAAAGTGGGCGGACCGTTGTCTGAGATCAGAAATCTGAAATCCACGGCCTCGCGTCAATTTTCATAAAAATAGATTCGGCGGCGGGCGGCTCAGCGAAACATTTCACATGTGAAACGCTTTTGCTTCGAGGAAGCGTAATTTATGTGGCAGAAACGGGAAAGAACTAGTTAATGCACGGCACTAGGAATCATGTAATAATATGTTTATTTGCGATTTACGGGGGCGTTTCTAGAGGCACACGCAACGACCTATGTATTTATAATTCCACTATTAATCATTTAACATTCATGATAATGGGACTGTATACAATTGTTAGCAAAAAGCTAAAATAACATAAACAAAAATTCGATTGTTGATACAGATTTTTATTCAATGCAAAGTACCCAAGTATGTGAAAGAACCAAATGTGCTCTATGGGGAATAATACAACTTGCTCGCGCTCACAGTCATCATCAGAAGGTAAATAAACACAAACCCTCGTGAATAATTATACACATGTGCTTGGGTTAAATAAGGTCCAAATTATCACCTTGAAAACGACTTTTCGTATTAGGCTGTTCCCTAACGGATTACGCTAATTCCTTCACACGTTTCCCCAGATTTCAACTAGTTTATTTTGGCGTCTAGCTGTCGCCAGTCCAAAGCAGTTTCGTTTCACAAGTGGACATCTCAAATCCAAGTCACATGCGAATTTAATGTAGGAGCACAATACAAGTGCTAAGGCTATGGCTAAAGATACATTCATATAACCTTATTAACTGGGAAACTAGAGCCAATAGAAAATGCAAATATGGAGTTCTTTATAATTAGAAATTCCCTCTCCAGATGAATATCTAATTACGCCCCTTAGTGCCAGGCAACTAATTATAATGGTTCCTGGTCCCGCCAAGCTGACGCATTCAAATAAATAAAATCAATGAACCTACATTAATAACTCTGCCCCTTTATTAATAAATTGTAAGTGAGGCAATTGACGATTGAGTTCGACTTTGAAATTCAGGGAGTGAAAGGGGAATGCGGAAAACATCTAAAAATCAGTACACTGAAAAACATTTTGTTCGACTTGCTTTACAATTTTGTTTTTTGTAGTATTTAATGAATATTATTGTCAGCAAATGTACTCTAGAACCAAACCAATTCGAAGTTATTTAAAGCTAGTTTTGATAAATTATGCTTGTACGCCTATAATGACCTCAAGTTTTAACTTCAATTAAATGAGTTTTAAAATTCCTTAAAAACGTTTTTGAAACGGCCTTGCTTAACAAATTTTAATGAGTTAATACCTCGATAATTAAAACTATTAATTTTTTCTGTGTGTAGGAACAACCACTACTCGTAAATGCAGAGACTTTTTTTTTGGGCGGTAGTGAAGGTGGAGGAGGGGAGGGGAAAGGAGGGGAGGGGACTAAGGGGCGTGAGGTCGAACAGGTATTTTCGGTTTGGCTGTTACGAAATTAATGGCAAAAATTGTCATGCCGAAGCGAAACCAAAACAAAAACACACGAAAACGCAGGCAAATGCGCCGTTTACTTTGCATTGTTTTTATGGGTGGTTTTAACGACTGACTTTGGGTGACTTTCGACTTTTTTCGGGCGTGTTAATTGTTTGGAGCAAGTGGACGCACCTTTGCTCGATTTTCCGACCAGTTCGGCACCTTCGAAGGACTCAAATTCCTCCATTCTTTTGCGGTCGCCAACTATTCTGCGTACAATCGATTTTTCAGACACCCCCAAGAATTGCAGCGTAACAAATTTCTTGCTTTCGTCCGGGTTTTGGGGCATTTCGGGGGGTTAAAGGTATATTTAGTTGATTCTCCAGCGAATCGAAGGATTTTACTTTTATCCCAGTTTGTTGTCGTTTTTGCTGTTGTTTTTACAACACAAACTCTTGCATTTACGGTACACACACACACTAACAGCTGCTACGGCAGCCGCTGCACACACACACACGCACAGCGGACAAACGGGCATCTCTATCTCTTTTCATCTTATCTCTCTATGCCGCACATTTTTCACATTTCCCGGTTTTGTTTTTTTTTTCTCTTCTAATTTTATGTAAATTTGTCTATTTAGTTTTCGCTTTCGTTTGGCCAACAACAAACAACTCGCGATCGAGTATCTCGGGTCGGCCGTCCGTTACGAAGTATCTCATGCGATGTATCTCATGAGCGCGAATCAAATTGAAAAGGTAACACAAACAGCTGTTCGGGTGGAGATGGGTAGCAAGCGATAACTTAAAGGCTTAAGTCGATAAATATTTAAGGCTTGAATTGTAAAAAAAAGAGTGTGTAGTAATCTTTTTTTTTTTTTACTCTTCTTAAATTTATTTTAAAGGTCAGAAATATATAATAAAGTTTGGAGTTTTTCATTCATTATGCATTTAATATTTGCACATTTATTGGCAATAAGAAACTTGCCATTATTTTGAAATTATTGTAATGTTGTGTTCAATTAATTTTGACAACCAAAATATTTTAAGCTATTAATGAAGTCTTCTAGCTTCGCGTTCGGATTCCAGGAGCGAAAGGATATCGCCCTCACGAATAGGTCCTTTGACGTTGCGAATAATCTGGCGGTTCTGCTCGCCAAGCAACTCAACCTTAACCTGAGTACATTGGCCCTGGGATCCTGTGCGGCCAAGGATCTTTACCACGCGGGCGTGTACAGGCTTGTCCATAATTGTTCAATATTTATTGCAAGAAATTTTTTTTTTCTGATATATATTAAATTTAAATATGATCCTATGAGTGCGGCCGCTCCGGTAACCGGACTACTGATTCCACTGCTCACCAGCCCTGAAAACAGTGACGTTGTTATCGAACCAGCTCGAGTATGAGCCAGCTCCAATAGCTGTCAAACCATCGTTACTAAAATCATCGCAACCTAATGATTTTAAAGCGATAGTATCGACTTTTAAAATTTGTATTCGTCTATTAAAATAGGAAAATAAAATTAAAAATTCGTATATAATTCGATCAAGATTTTTGATAAAATATAAATTTATGGATACAATTCAAAGCTTTTTAAAAAGACTTGAAAATAAAAATTGTATTTTGTTTAGATAATTTGCATAATGGTTTTTTTTATTAAAGTTAAAAGGGTATTAATATAAAAGTGGCGGGTAATTGTTTACGATATTATCATGATAGTTTCCAAACCATCGAAATAACAAGCTGGCTTCCAACCATCAATACTATCGATAGAGCAACCGATAGTTTGACAGCTCTAGCATGTAATTGTTCGTCTCGCCGTCTAACATTTGTGTCGAACTATTTTGTTTTGCCATTCAATAAAACTATTATTTACCACTATTTAAGCGGTGCCACAGAGCCCGAGAAGTGTCCGCGCTCTAGGGATTCGGATAATTTGAGGAGTACAACGAATCCGCAACGATACGTCCATGAAAATCGAAAAGTAGCAGCAGCAATAGCAGAGGCAACAGCAACAAAATACACAAAATAAAAGAAGCAGCAGACGGAAAAGTGTTTAAATGGTTGTAAACTGACAGAAGAGGCGATTATATACGGATTTTCGGGAGTACAGGACCCAGAGACAGCGAAAATGCTTTAGAGGGCGGCGGTTCTCGACTATTTTCTCCCTCCGGAGAGACCAGAGTTGCCAGAGGACGAGGATGAGGAGGAGATTGAGACTCCTGGCGAACAACCAAGAAGCTAAAGACATATAGTCCATTTGATCGGGAAATGCCCTCGGGTAGTCCCGCTGCGATCCCCGTGTGAGGATCCTGCAGCCTTGTTTAGCATTTAATCCGGTCACCGTGCCTGCGCCTTGTTAACCACACTCTCTTGTTTACGTTTGCTTGTTTGTTGACCTCCACACAAATCGTCCTTCCATTAATTGTTAGTTACGCATCCCTCTCGTTGAGCACACTAATCAAAATGAATGCATCATCCTCGTCGAAACCGAAATTGAAATCGAAGCGTCCAGCCGTTAAAGCTACAATCAAATTACTCCCGTCCAAACCCACCTCGTCATCGTCACCGCCATCGAAGATTGAAGCCAGGGCCGCCAGGATTTCGCCAGGATCAGTCGTCTGCCATCCCAATTGAGTGAAGCCAAGGATACACGAATCTAAGGGTCAGTAACCTTCACTCTTCTGTGTAAAGACCAATAATAATGTTCTTAATTTCCCTACATAGTCTGTTGGATCAGCTTTTGATCAAGTTTCCCCATCATATCACAGTGTGAGGATGATAGTCGGATTTGCATTTCGTTTTGGCATATGTGCATTGAATTCCATCTTTTGAAAACATGTATAAGGATATATATATTTGTCAGACACTCAGTCCAACTTTCATAACTCAAATCACTATCTGTCATTAAACAAATTGAAGTTATGGAGTTGATTTTACCTTTCCGTTACAAACTATTGCGACAGCAATTTTTAATAGTTTTCCCTATTAATATTTGATTAGTAAACGCCCCCTGCATAGATGAAAAAGCTTTTATATGGTTATAATCTAAGAATTAATCGAAGAGTATCATGGTTTTAAAAGATTTTCTCTGGCACTTTTGCAGAACATTTGTTTTTATTAACTGACATAGGATTGATAAACCCTAACTGCGTATTTTAACTCACGTTAATGTTCGCAAAGCGGATAAATTTAGAAAATTATAAAACTAGAAAAATAGAATAGACTAGAACGAGTTTTTTATTATCTATGGCAAGTAATGTTTTTGAATGAAAATAAAACCTGTTAGTAGCACGTTTAGTATTTGGTCATATATTGTGTAAGTCATTATATTAAACAGTAATCCCAAATTCTTTTTCATTTTAAAATATGAAATATAATTCACGGAAAAAATATTATGTTCTTTTTCCAGGTACTGCATGTACTACATCAACTGTAATATAAGATACATAAATATAAAGTAAAGCAAATAGGAGTAAATAACTGAAACGAAGAGTTAAACAATTCTACAAATCGGACATACAAAGATTTAACTATCTTAAAGGACTAACAGCGTTTTAAATTATTATATTCTCAAGCGTTTGCCACTTCTCACTTGAGTTTAATCGGTAAGGGTTTTATTTCCTTTAATATTCATAACATCTACATAAAAATTCCTTACATTTATTTAAGCGTAAATTGTATCCATTCGTGCGAAAAAAATTTTTCTCCCCCATAATACCAATATCAAAGGGTTTTTGAATAAGGCATGTGCCGGGGGAGGTTGTTGTCACTTGATTGTTTTATTGTACACCACAACATTTATATTTATTTTGCTAACAATACTACATTTTTAAAAGAAACCAGAAAAATTCACTTTTTAGCTTTAAGTAATCTGGATTTTCAACTTAAAGTGTTGGCTTTCTAATTTGGTTAACTATTAAAAAACTATTTAACGAAATTTGGGTATATTCGGGTAGCAGAAAGGTTACGCAAGCCAAATTAATTCCTTTTAGTTTTATTTTGACTCAAATTTTCATCACTTTTTCATAAGGTTTTAAAATCGACTAACGTTTTTATTAACTTTTTGATGCCATATTCCTCAAAATAGCCCGTTTAATTTAAGTTAAATTTAATCTTTTGCTAGTCCAACAGTTAAATCCTAACTACATAAACTAGACTTATTATATAATATTAATAATATTAAAATTCGATTTACTTAGCAAACTATAAATGAATTATTATTTTCCCTAATCTATTTCTTATCAAAATAATTTTTATATTTTCAGGAACTACTGGAACTTTTTTGGATTAATAATATCTTCCCTTGATTTTCATGTTGAAATTACATATGTAAGTAAAAAGCTTTTTTATATTTAACTATAACATCAGTTAAAGATACAAATTAAGCGATCTGTTGAGCTACTGTTTAAAATTAAATATTTTATATTGCGACTGTTATCCCATTTTTATGCGTATATCCTTAACAACAATGAAGATATGTTAATTTTCCGCAAAATTTTGTCGATTGATCCTTTTAAAATCGAATTTCTGAATGAGTACACCATCACTTTATTTTGAAGTATAAAAGTATAAGATGAAAAAGGAGGTGCTATAATAGCTACAAAATATAGTCGTGCTATCCAGACCGTCACCTCTTATATACTACCTGCAATAGAAAGCTTTTGTTTAAGATTCATCCAGATAAATTAAGAAACTAATCTGCTTAGAAACGGACAGTCGTACATTGCAAGATCATAGTGATGCTTATCAAACAAAGATATACCTTATAGAGTCAGAAATGTCCCCTTCACTGAGTTGCAAACTTTTGACTTTAATTATAAAACCCTATACAAAATTGTATACATATTTTCATATACTAAAAATTCCGATTGGTTTCCTTTTATATCGATGGAAAATAATAGAAGATATACATATATTGGAATATTTTATCAGGTTACCAAAAAAATATTACTGCTTGATCATATATCAATTATAAAACGATTTAAAAAAATGTTGCCAGTTTATTGATTTTAACGAACTTTAAATGTTCAAAATTAAATTACTTGTCCCTTTTTTTTTCTTTAAGAAATAATGATCCTGAATATATAATAGGATGTTAATTAATTGGCTATAATGTTTATAACGCATATATTTTTATTTAAGCAATTAGTACCCCACAAGAAATTTGGTTGCATTAAACTTGAAAAGATCTTCAAATAATTTGTGCAGTACCTCCTTATTTAAGGACCTGCTATATGTTTGTATCAAGTGTACTGTGGGTAAGTAGTACTCCTTTATCCTGCAGAAGGGAATCCGTTTTTAAAGCCAAAGTGCATCCTCCGCTGGCCTTGCAATGGGCTTTGCACCTGAAAAGTGAGCGCTTCCGTGCTGAACTTTTCTGGCTTTGCTGGCAACTTTTGCCGCGAACAAAGTGCCACTATTGACCTTCGGCAATACTCGCAGTAGTAGTGAATGTTTGTCCGTATATTTCCCCCAGTTTGCCAGGCCAACCAAGTCTAGACCGGCATCAGACGCCCGTTCATCGGGTTCGGTGCAGCAATGGCGGTCTTAACCTCATTAGAAAAAAAACGAGGCTGCCGCCGGTCGCCCCTCACCACCTTTATTGTTTTCCAACTTATTCGAAAATAATTTCCACATTTGCGTTTAGGGGAGGAAATGAAATATGGCATGGAGGTGGGTCTTCAAGCTCAACCCTTGCCCCACCCCTCGGCGTTGGGAATACAAATAAAATCCAACTCTGCTGCTCTGTTTATGTACAATAAGGACGGGCGTCTGATTTTTCTTTTGCTCTTGGGACTCTGGCAGTGGGCCAGGGCTTGGTCTGGGTCCAGAGGTTTGAGGACCGAGGACAGAGGACTGAATCTGGACCTGCGCATATTGGTTGCACACAATGACTCCTATTCGCCTGCTGCCGTCTCGCTTGCACCGCCGCAACCACGGACACTTTGAAAAGAACATCCTTTGTGTGTTGTTGTACAATGTACATGAAGCATCATCATGTTGGAGGTCGTCCCCATCGCCGCTTCTAGTACTCCTGCTCCTCTGACGGACAATCCCATCAACAGCTGGTCGGGAACTTGGAGGGGCAGTGGTTATTCACTCGCAAAAAATAATATTCGAGTCGATCAATCTATTTTGTTAGTGCATTTTAATCGAGTTTCCGATTTAAGTTTCTAGTGAAAAAAAGTTCGGCTTGGGGTTTCAAATGGTTTAAAAATAGCTTCCAAACTTATTTTTTAATTGACTTAATTATATATATTTCAATGTCAGCACGTTATAACCGAATTTTTCGGGATTTTTGGAAAGTTCTTTCAAAGCAAGAAAGCATGGACCATTCTGTAT